CTGCTGCTGCTGCTACTGCTACTACAACTCCTGCTCCTGCTAGTGCTAGTGCTACTGCTACTACTACTACTACTACTACTACTACTACTACTACTACTGCTACTAATACCACCGCTACCGCTACCACCACCGCTACCGCCACCAGCCACCACCACCTCCACGACCAAGACCAAGACCAGTACCATTACCACTACCACTCTGCTACCTACTACTGCCACGACCATCACGAAGACAACGACCATCAGGCCCACTGCCGCATCAACATCGTCGGCACCAGTAGTAAGATGGTCTTTCTTGAGTCAACAATTGCGAGGGGCATCAACGGGCTGCTTCCTGGTGGGGAGTGTGAGCTACGACGCGAGAGCTGTGAGATTTGGGCTGGATGTTGGTTGTGCACCGTCACCATCCTATTCGTCAAGCCTTACTACGGCACCCCAACACTTTCCGAAAAGCATGAAGGCCAAAGCAGGATTGAGTTTCCCCACGGCCAGCTTGCAATAAGGATTTGGAACAAACGGTAGCAGTATATCCTTCTAGCCCATTTCCAATGACTGCGGCCCAGTGAGTGCCTGCAAACCCGATATACCCTGTACGACCTAGCTGCCTAGCTAAACAAGCAAAAACCTATTCTTCTTACCAGGATCACGACCATCCTCATAATCATCATCTTCTTCTTCAGCTTCAGAGCCATCATCATCACCTTCATCTTATTCTTCATCATCTTCTTATTCATCATCTTCATCCTCGTCAGCATCGTCTTTCTGAAGACCTGACTCAGGTTCGGCCTCGCATGCGGCGTGCGCAAGGCCGGAGCTGGAGATGTTAGGAGCTAGGCTTTGGTTCTTTTCAGGCTTAGGGTAGGGTTCAGGCTTAAGGGTTTAGGGTAAGGGTTACCACGAGGGTTCTAGACAGGTTCTATGAGGGTTTGGGTTTACGCGATTTAGGATTTGGGGTTTAGGGGCTGTCACCGCTTGGGGTTTACGGCTTGGGGTCTATATAGGGTTTGGGATTTACGGTTTGGGGCTTATACGGCCATTATAGGGTGTAGTGTTTCGTGTTTATGGGGAAGGACCCAGGGTCTACAGATGTTTCATTAAACGTCTCCTGACCCATGTGGTTAAACTGCAGACGGGAGACTTCCATAATGCAAGTTGTGCAGGCCGTAGTGCCCGAGGCAGAACTTGCACATTTAGCGTGCGGAGGTTCGATTTCCAAGTATGGCGGTGCACAGTGGCATTCTACCGTTCAGAGTGACGAGACTTGGTTAGTGTCGGCGCGAGGCAGCCTTGGAGGCGCACCCGAGAATTTCGAGCTCACGCAGTGGCGCTGTGCATAGTTTGCACTTATATGTCCTCTTGTTTACACAGTCTCAGTGCGGATGCGTGCTCACAAAAAAGCGGGACCGAGCGCGTGCGCCTTGCTGATCCGATATTTAGGCGACCTGTAGCTATGCTAGCTTTGCTTTAGCAAAAGGCGCGACCGCTGATGCCGCCGACCCCACCTAATTTCGAGTAATTTGGGGGTCGCCATGGTTGCCCCCAAAGGGCGCGCATCATGAGCATCAGCGGGGTTCGGCGGACCCCAAAGGGCGCGCATCATCAGCATCAGCGGGGTTTGGCGAGGCGGGGGGTGGGTGGCCTTAGCCTTGCTCCAGGCTTGTACCTGCGCTGCCCGCCGGTGGGCGCAGCCCCTGATTCCCGGTGATGGGGGGACTGGGAACGATTTTGGGACGGCGCTGAAACCGCCCGAAACCAATCAGACAAGGCGGGAGAACGCTCAATTTTCATCAGCAGACGGGACGACCGAGTCCTGAAGAGATCCCATAGATGGAATGTAAAGCAAGGTTGGTTCCAGACACAAGAAGTCAGATCTGCGTGCTGCTGTAACTTGCACTACTGAGGGTCTAATATGCACGTTCATTTGATAACTTCCCAGTTCTTTGCTTTGCGATCTTGAAAGCCAAATTCGTAAACCTTCTCGGACCCACGCCAACGTGAACCCTAAACCCAAAACCGACCCATAGCCCTTAACCTCGGCAAGGTGAACCCCAAACCCTAAACCGACCCATAGCCCTTAACCTCGGAGGTGGCTAGCACGAGCACAGTGGACCCTTCCTTGGTGGACACCTTCGGACGCAGGACGGGCCAGGACTTTCCCACACCGGGTTTATCACAGAGTGTAGTCCTTTGCGGAGTTTAGGGCCTAGGGTCTAGGGTTTAGGGTTTGGGGTTTAGGGTCTAGGGTTTAGGGTTTAGGGTTAGAGGTGTGACAGTTGAACTTGAAGGGTCTCAGAGCTTACTATTCTGGTGCTTGCTCGTGAGCAGCTGGACACCTATGCCAGCACCATGCCATTATGCAACCATGATAGTCTCGAGACGACTTCTTCCCCCCCCCCCCAAAAAAAAAAAATGCCATGCAGCCTATCAGCCCTGGCTTACATCCATGCCCATGCAGCATCCCATCAGCAAGCTGCTGGTCAGGCACAGCTACCTGCGAGTCTCCCTGACGGACCGGTGCAACCTAAAATGCGCCTTACTGAGAATGTGGCTGTTGCTGTCAAATAGCTGGTTCATGTCTCAGCCAGGAATAGACAAGAATGTTAGCACTGTCTCATCCATTGTCCAAACACCCGAACCTCTAAACCCCCAAGTTAAGCATGGGGCCTGACGGTATTTCACGTCTGGCCCCATGATGTTGGTTTTGCTACCTATGCCTAATCGGATTCGATTTGGCATGTGCTTCATGAAATGTTGCTTTCGAGTGAACCAGAGCGTCTTTTGCAAGGTCGCTACTGCATGCCGGAAGACGGAGAGGACCCGAGTTGAGCTGGGTCTTTCCAGACGTCTCTAGTTGGAGGTTCATGGGCAGCTATAGGTGGGGTTATGAGTTGGGTAACTATAATTATAACCCGTATTAGGGGACTTATAACGCCACTTATAACTACCGATGAACCTCCAAGTACTCCACGATGCCACGGAAAGTCCACTCAAAGGCTCTTGCATGGTTCCTGGGTTTGAAAGAGGCGTCGCCGGCAACTTAGTGCGCCGATGAATGACAGCTGGAGCAGTGCTTTTGCATAATTCCCAGAGATGGTGCCCATGCCTTCTTACCTGCACTCCATGTCGTCATCTTAAGCACCTGTAGTGGTACCACTGGAGCTGCAATCTTCGAACAACGAAATGTCGAAGTCTTTTGTGCAGAATCGCATTTGTCCTTGAACTCTCACAGGAAGTTTTCACCCCCACACCGGGCGGCAAGGTGCTCACGGCCCAGGACACGGTCAGGGTAGTGTATCCGGTGGCGGGCATCAAGGGCCACGGCTTTGGCGAAGCACATATCGGGGTTCGAGTACAAGTTCGTTGTAGTTCGAGTGGCCATCAGCACCAAGCTCATGGATTGCTCCTTGTGACATCGTTGCAAGTCCCAGCAGTTACCAAGCTCCTGCATTTAGATCTGGGGAACACCTTTCTGAAGAAGTGCCGGGGCCTCGGGCCTTAGATTTGCTGTAGAATTACCTGCACCTTCAAGCTTTTCAGTCTTGACGCTCCCCGCTGCATTGTGCAAAAGCAGCCTTACTCTATCAAACACTCGCTATCTCTTTGGTTTCACCGAATCTTCAAGAAACCCCCTAGACTCTTCAATCCTGGACCCTAAACCGCTAAACCATTAAACCCAAAGTCCTAAACCCAAACCCTAGACCCTGGAGGCCAACACATTAAACTTAGACCCTAAGCCCCTAAACCCATAAGCCAGTAAACCCTAAGCCCCAAAGCTTAAACCCCACTAGAATTGCAGGAGTTGAAGCGGTTGCTGCGGCTTTTCGTCCGTCTGGGTGTAAGAAAGGTGGGGAGTGCAAGGGGGGTTCTGCCGTGTCTATGGCCTTGGGGTTTCAGGGGTTCCTTTAAGGGTGCCATACTGTAAGGGTTCTTATAAAGGTTCCTTTAAGGGTGCCATACCGTAAGGGCTCCTACAAAGGTTCTACAAGGTTGACTATAATATGGTTTTGGGGTGTCTAGAGTTCGGTAGCTTAAGGTTCGGTATCTGGAACTTTCAGATGCTGGTTGGGGTTGACCCGGTGATGAGCCAAGGACCAGCCAGTTACGCATTCATGTAGAGGCCTTGATAATTGGAATAGGATTTTGGGGGTACGTTATATGTACTTTCACTAAGGAGAAACAAAGAAATAAGGCCCCTATAGTACCTACATCAGCCACGAAAGCTTCAATGGCAAGTCGTGTTCCTGAGGCTTCACCTGCATGTGCAGACGTTCGTTCATATGATTTTGCAGCCGTGCATATACGTATGTATGAAGTTGCAGAAGTGAACCTATGTTATGTTACATGTGCACAAGTATGGGCATTTGGTAACATCAATGCTTTATTGGGATTATGCGGTACAGATCGCCGTACTCCAGTGCCTGCAATGTTCTCCTGTCTGTGTGTGTGTGTCTCCTGTCTGTGTGTGTGTGTGTCTCCTAAACCCTAAACCCTAAACCCTAAACCCTAAATGTGCTTTCTTTTGCATTGAAGGTGAGGCTCACAGGCGGCGAGCCAACCACGCGGGGAGACTTCGCCCAAATTATGCAGGACGGTGTAGGTGGCATGGACTGCAGGGTTTGGTGGTTCTTGTTGGGATTACTGTTGTCAGGATCTAGCCGGGAACTTTGGGACTTGGAGGCCGTTATTGCCAAGTTTGCAAGTCGAAGTTGAAGTCGCCAGAAATTTAAGCTTTTTGGTGCGCACAAAAGCAGCTGCCTGCAGGATATCGGTGAACTAAATGCTTGCCGGTGCCTGAGAACTCGCATGGATGAGTGAAGCCTTGCCCGAAATCTTACATGTCGGATTTCGCTTCTTTGGGGCATTGGTTTCGCGTTTATTGTTGCTGCTTGGGAGGCTAGAGGATCCTTAGCGTCTGGAGAGTACAAACCATCTCAGCAAGCAAAATGCGATTCCCTCAAAATTAACCCTAAACCCTAAACCCTAAGCCCCTTACTTCCTCAGAGCTCAGGATGTTTGCAGTTCCTGAGCTGGAAACCCGAAACCCAAAAAATCTTAAAGCCCTAAAAACCCTAAAGTCCTAGACCCGAATTGCTAAGACACTAAAGCCTCAAAGTTCGGATCATAGTGATCCTTACAGCTGACCCTTGCATAGCAACTAAATCAACATGAACATCTGAGTTTTCGTAACCGTTACAGTTCTCAAAGCAACCCTTGTAGAAGTCCTTCTGATAGTAACCCTGACCGGGGCTTATAGAAGTTGTGTCTGATGGTGTTCCTTCACAGTGACCCTTACAAAGCCTAAGCCCTAAACCCTGAACCCTAAGCCCTTATATTCTATAGTAATAAACCTAAACCCGAAGCCCTTATAGTCTATAGTACTAAACCGTAAACCGCAGCCCTTATGGTCGATAGTACTAAACCCTGAACCCTAAGCCCTTATAGTAGCTTTTGAGAAAAATAGCACCGAAAGAGGCCTCGACGAGCCGCTGTCGCTTGGCATCACGACGAATGGCGTGAGGCCGGAAAAGTCCGGAAATTTGGGGGCCTAAACCCTAAACCCTAAACCCTAAAACCCTAAGCCCTAAACCCTAAGTTATGGTTGAGGGCTTAGGGTGTGGGGGTTGAAAGGGTTAAGGGTTTGGGGCCAAGAGTTTGGGGGTTTAAAGGGTTTGGGTTCAGGGCGTAGGGTGTGGGGGTTCAAAGAGTTAAAGGGTTTGGGGGTTTATAGGGTCCGGGTTTAGGGCGTAGGGTTTGGGGGTTCAAAGGATTTACGGCTTAGGGTGTGGGAGTTTAAAGTTTAGAGGGTTTAGGGTTTGTGGCTCACATGTGGAGCATATTGACAAGGAAGCATAACGTGGAAGTGTCCGAAGTTTAGGAGTTACTTCTTCAACCAAGGGCGCTTGAAGCAAGGGTCCTATTAATTCATGTTCTGCAACCCCATTCTCACCACCAGTTGTTTTGGTTACCGATATATAGCATAGCCGTGACAGACAGGCATTGCCTTGATGATGTTAAAGGTTCTCATGATCTTCTCATGTGCGCCGATGTTTGGGATGGCTGAGTTTCCTGTGTTCTTCCAAGCCTTAAATTAAGCCTCAAACCCTCAAACTGAAAGCCCTAAACCCAGAGCCCTAAACCCTATATCCTAAGCCCTAAACCAAAGCCCTAACCCTAAATCAGCCCTAAACCCTTGACATCTTAGCTGGATCTTGAATCCTGGACTTTGGAAGCAGCTATAGGGCTGAGAGCTAGCTGTGCTGCTGATCCTATCTGGCTGCTTAGGGTTTATACAAGGGTTTAAGGTCTAGGGCTTCGGTTTTGGGGATTAAACTTCAGGGTCTAAGGTTAAGAGCTTAGGGTAGGGGCCGCTCATGTTCGAAACCCTGAATCTTATGCTGACAGATCTTTCTGAGAAATTCAGGGTGTTAAGGTCCGGGACTTTCGAGCGTGGCTGCGCCTAGCGCAAGTTGCCGGGCACAAACTCTGAAAGATCTCCTGGCACCCCACGCCATATAGACCTCGAAAAGGTGCATGAAAGGCTTGAAGGGATGCAAGACTTCGACTGCAACTTCCATCTGCAGATTTTTGCAGACACTATCAACAGTAGCAAGGTGTACAATTGATCTGAATCCGAATGCCAGTCTCGACTTGTGGTTCCAGGCTCAAGAAATTCCTTCCGCAGATGCGTGCAGCGGGATTGAGAAATGTCAATCTAAGCCGGGAGGCTCAGAATGGCTTGCAGAGGAGGGTTTGCAAAATGATTTGGAGGTATTGCGATGTCTGTAGGCCCGTACGTTGCTTTGTGGCGTGCACAAAGCACAGACAGCCTGTGAAAGGAGCCTCACTCTCATGTTCTTCTGTGTGGTCCCTAAACCCTAAACCCTAAACCCTGACAGCCGGCTGTTCAAATGCACTCCGCGAGGTCTGGACACACTGCAAGCGGCCAAGTTCCCGTTTCTGGCGGGGAAGCCGCTGGATTGGCACGTCCGGCACTCGGGGGGATTGGACATCTCTAAGGTTGAAAGTATGGGCCCCTAATATGGACTTTTAGGCCTTTCTAGGGACCCTCAAGGGTACATATAGGGTATATAGTAGGTACAAGGATCCCAGGGCTAAGGGCCCGTACTAGGGGCCCATGGGTTCAACCTTAGAATATCTGTTTGGAGAAAGCAGCCATGAGCGTGCTGACGTTGAATTTTTCAGGAGTAACGGACATAGCAAGCAAGAGGGTATCGAGTGCCACGCTGATGTCGTGCCGAAACTTTGGCTAATTTATCAGTCCAGTCTTTTTGGGGGGAGCCGCCACGGACAGGCCCGAATTATGGACAGTATGCACGCAGTTGCGGAGGAGCCGATGTGCAAATCCAGGGCATGTTCAGGATCGTCGCTGGTCGCACCACTCAGCTTCACCTGAAGCCCGAATCACCTGCATCCTTTTGCCCAAAAGGAGCCTTTCTTCAACTTGAAGCTCAATTGCGTTCTCCTCAAAGGGGCCAATGAGGAGTCAGGGGCATGACGCTTTGCATGCTCAAGTTCTGGACGTGTTTGCATGCTGCGAAGATAGGGGTGAATACATGAAGCACGCCGATCGAATGAAATCAGAGGGCGAACACTGGTCATGGTTTTGATCTTGCATGCACTGCAGCTTGGTATTGGCGTCAGTACAGTTGTTGTAGGTCTAGCGTAGTACAGGCTAAGCATTAACATGTTGATTATGACGAATGGAGTTTCCGTTACGTCGTACTTACTGGAGGTCGTGTGTACGTGCGCGTATAAACATACATGTTTATATTTAGTATATATATATATATGAATATGAATATTAATATATAAAAATATATAAGTACATATGAGTATACACACACATATATATATATATATGTACATAGCTACACAGACCTGCTATTTCCAAACAGTTCACTGAAACTTCGGCGCCCGCGGCGGTTCTGCGGTTTTCGACAACGTCGCTTCATTTCCGCAGTTAGCTTGGACCTGTGCGCTGGGGGCACCGAATTCATGGCCAAATCCCATGTTTCAACTGGCACTCCCGATTTTGATGACCCCCTAAAGCCCATCGTGGTATACTATTAGGCGGAATTCAGGTTCCAACCGCAGTCTCGTGTTCTCAAGTCGTTAGAGCTCGCGAGAGTCCTGGCAAGCGCACACCATTCGGCTTTCCGGGGTTTTTTCGCATGGTCTCAAGGTTCCGCAGTTCTGGGGGCTTGTCGAATTTTGGAAGGTTGGCAAATCGTGCTCGGGCCCTGCCTGTTTCGG